AAATTTTATATGTGAATTATATATTATATACCTTTAAATTTTAGAATATATATATATATTTAAAATAATATAATTTAAAAAATAAAAAAATATGAATCGTGTACCTGTGACCTAAAAATACATGTACCCGACTTACGGGTATTTGGATGTAATGGGTCGAGACACGGGCCAAAATTTTGGTACCTGGAATTGGTATCTTGTTTTGAACGCCCCTAGTACATACCGTATATAATAATTATTTATTAATAAAATACAAAACTATCAATTTAAGTAAATAAAATCAATATTAAATGTTGAAAATTAAAGAAATAATTGTTTATCGAAGTAAAGAAATGGTTGGGCATAAATAACAAAGGAAATAATAAATGAGATATCAATTTCTAGGATGGAAGTGAATGGATCCCAAAACCATAAGAACTACATGGGCCATACATTGGGTGTGATGTTATGTTGGGAATATAAATAAATATGTCATTCAATTCAACCAATCTTATAATTCATCCTTTGGACACCGACGCTGCATCTTTCCATGGGTCTCAGTAGACCTACATTTAAAAAAAAAATCTAAAAATATATATTAATAAAATATTTCATTTATTAAATAATATTTAAAAAAATAACTCAAAACTTATTTAAATATTTTTATTATACTCAAATTCATATATATATATATATATATATATATATATATATCTAATGAATGTTGACACAAGTGGTTGAGATTCAATAATTTGTGCTTGTAAGGTCAAGTTCAAATCCTATCACCGTCTCTTGGTGGGCAATCTGTAAATTCTTATGTAAATCCTAATCGAGAATTAGGTATGCCTTGACCCTGGACTAAATGAGTCACCCCTGACCTAAACTTTAATTTATCAATATATACGTGTGCGTGTCATCGAATTATAATTGGGATGGGAACATCGAAGAGCTCAAATAATATGGACTTCTTCTATATTTTACCTTCTTTAATCATTTTTTTTTTGAAATTAAAGGATTCATTATATTCTGATTACATCATTAATAATATATGTTTTAATACAATCAGGCTCATCATAGTAAAACCAGGACGGGTTGGACCTTTGTAACGAGTGTTGGCACAAGTGGTTGAGATTCAAGAATTTGTGCTTGTAAGGCCAAGTTCAAATCCTACCACCGCCTCTTGGTGGACAATTTATAAAGTCTTATATAAATCCCAATTGAGTATTATGTATGCCTTGACCCTGGACTGAAGGAGCCACCTCTGACCTAAACTTTAATTTATCAATATATATATGTGTGTCATTGAATTATAATTGGGATGGGAACATCGAAGAGCTCAAATAATATGGACTTCTTCTCTCTTTTTCATTCTTTAATCATTTTTTTGAAATTAAAGGATTCATTATATACCGATTGCATCATTAATAATATATGTTTTAATACAATCAGACTCATCATAGTAAAACCAAAATGGGTTGGGGTTCAACAAAGCCCAACGAGCAAGACTATGAGCCATTTTGTTCGCCTCAGGGTTAACATACATAATTTTAATCATGCTATTCGACGCAATCATCCCTTGAGCTTTGTTGAGAAACAAGTCGATTGTTGACACATCTTCTTTGCAGTTGGCGAGCCTATTAATGGTGGATATCACATCTCTTTAATGATCGTATTATGCCATTCGTTTTCGAGAGCGTATTTGATCCCTTCTGTGAAAGCCAAAACCTCAGTAGACTCTGCAATAAATAGGTAAGGTATCCGATGACACATCCCACCTAGCACCAATCCATGTGAGTCCCTTGCAACAATTCCAATGGTAGTTACATTGCCTGGGATAATGCAAGCTTCATCAACATTTATCCTAACCCAAGAGAGAGGGGATTTAGTCCACGTTCGAGGAGGAGAGGATATTGTCCTACTATACGTCCAACCTTTGGAAACTTCAGTGAATTCAGAATAAAGGTTGGAGGCGGAAACTACCATGTCTCTATCATCCTTAGTCTCATATTCATGGAGAGCTTATTTCGTGTATTCCATAAATTTCATAAAACACTATTAGTCTGGTAAGTCTATGTTGCTCCAACTGGGAAGCACCCCAGTCTAACCATTCTTTACATGAGTTGCCTTGCCACTCAATAATATCTCTTCTAAGTCCCGAGATCTCCAATACGTTTCTTGATTTGGGACAAACCTTCAGAGCGTGAAGAAGAGTTTCTAAGGCATCCCCGCATAAAGGGCATTTTTCTTCCGAGAGTTGAATCTTCAACAGTTTGTCTCCTGTTGGGACTGCATTGTGGCAAAATCTCCACCCGAAAATCTTAATTTTTGGATGGTAGCTTTGTGAGCATTTTCCATATTTTTCATTATCCCTTGGGATCCCTTTTCGGAGCAGAAGCCAATTGTATCATGATTTAGCCAAAAAGCATCCAGAGAAATGATGACTCCAGATGAGCTTATCAGGACTGGTGGGGGCAATCAGTGTTCTAAACACTTTATCCGCTTCAGCCTCAGTTAGGACATTCCTAATCTTGTTCGCATCCCATCTTGGAACCCTTGAGAGCATAAATTCCGTGCATTTGATATGATTGTCATAGCTATCTACATAGGTATTTGTCCAAACAACTAGGGAGGAGTCACCCCATGTATCCCTGAAAAAACGAACATGTTTTTCATACCCGACTCCTTAAAAGAAACCGTCTTTAAAGACCTCCTTAGCTTTAAATATCCTTATCCATGCGTGAGAAGGTCTATCTCCTAGTTTGACATCAAGGACTCCTGATTGGGGAAGTATTTTACTTTAAGAACTTGCCTTGCAAGGGAATCAATGAAGAATTCGCCATACCTGGGATCCCAACAACGCAAAATTAAACAACTTTAGATCCTTGAAGCCTAGCCCCTTCTCTCTTGGCTCTGCAGATCTTGTCCCAAGACATCATAGCACATCCTCTTTTGTCCTGCTTACCTTTCCACCAAAAAGTCCGAATCTGGGAAGTGATGTCCTCAATAATTCCCTCCGGGAGAAGGTAACATGACATGACATAGGTGGGGAGGGCTTGCGCCACCGACTTAAGAAAAACCTTCCGACCTCCAAAGGAAAGAAGATTCCTGGTCCAACCTTGAATACATTTAGTAGTTTTGGTGCAGACAAAACTGAACGTGCTCATTTTCTTTTTACTGATAGCCAAAGGCAAGTTAAAATAGTCTCATGGTTCTTCTTTTTCAGTTACTCCAAATACCTTCATAATATTGTTCCGATGATCCAATATGAGTTGTTGCTGAAGCATATATTAGATTTATCATAGTTAATCTTCTGTCTTGAAGCTTCTTCGTAAGTACTTAATAGGCTTTTCACCTTTCGGGCTTCCTTAATGGAATTCTTGAAGAAGAGGTTACTATCATCAGAATATAGAAGATGCGTGATCCACAAACCTCTACGACCGGCTCTAACTCCTTTGATATGATTTTTACGGTGAGCGTCGTTAAGTAATGCCGATAGACAGTTCTTACATATAGAAAAAGATATGGGGAGAGGGGGTCTCCTTGTCTGAGCCCCCTATCCGGGGTGAAGGCCTCTAAGAGTTGCCCATTTATTCTAATTCGAAAGGTGACAGAGCAAATACACTTCTTAATTAGTGCTATGAAGGGATCAGAAAAGCCCATTTTCTCCATAACGCCCAGAATAAAATCCCATTCCACCCTATCATAGACTTTTTTCATATCTAGTTTGAGTGCAGCTCTTTTGTTAGGGCCATTTTTTTTAGCTTTTTAGATAATGGGCAATCTCATTAGCAATAAGAAAATATATGAGATACGTCTACCCGGGACAAAAACACATTGGTTGACCACATACAACGTGGAATGACAGGTTTAAGACGGTTGATTAAAACTTTAGCCGCGACATTATAGCCACCATACACATATTAATAGGTCTGAAATTTTTCATAGATTTCAGGTTATTACTTTTTAGGATGAGCACTAAGACAGTACGATTAACATTCTTAGAGTTCGTAAGACCATTCAAAAGATCAAGACATAAATTAGTAAGGTCAGAATCAACAATATCCCAAAAAGATCGATAAAAGGATCCATAAAGACCATTAATACCTGGGGTGAATTTGCGAAAAGGCGAGAAGAACTTCCTCCTTTGTGAACGGTCAACAGAGCATGTAATTATTATCGGGTGAGACATGGGGATGGCAGAATGACCCGAACCCGAAACCCGGTCAAGTTCGGGTCGGGACGGGTATTGGGGATTTTTTCGGGTTCGGGGCAAGGTATCTCTGTCCCGCCCCGCCCCGCTCCGATTATATTATATAATATTTTTTTTATTTTTTTATTAATTATATATATAATATTTTATATATTTTATATTAATTGTATATATATATATAATATTTTCGGGTTCGAGTATAATATTTCGGGTCAGGTTTGGGGACGGGATAAAAAAATCCCCGACGGAACATCCCGATAAAAAACCCGACGGGAATCAGGTCGGGAACGAGGATTCATTTCGGAGACGGGGCGAGCAAAACCTGCCCCGAACTCGCCCCGTTGCCGTTCCTAGAGACACATCTCTCAACTGCATTCAGGATTGCAAAGGAAGGCTCCACTTTGGACGATTGGAAGAGAGGTATAAAGGAGCTTAGCTGGTTTTGTTTGCCACGACCTTTCCGGTTGCTTTTTGATAGAGTAAATTAAAAATGGCAAATAATTAGCAACTGAATAAATTATAACTATTTTCTTTTGTATTTTGTCCCAAAAAGGGGATATTGATACGTAACAGGTGTTCTGTCAGTAGTAAAGAAAATCAAATTATATTTGAAATTTAAATCATTTTTTAATATTTTAATATGATTTCAGAATAATATATGCTTTATGATTTAAAATTTAAGTCTTGGAGTTACGACAAGAAAAGGAATTTGCATAATTAAAAAATAAAATAGTGTAGCGGATCTCGTTGTTTCAACGCTATATCTGGCTGTCTCTTGCATAGCTCACTTCGCCTTTGTCCATTCAGTCAAAATTCTTTCCCAGTTTTCTTCTAAGAGAGCACATCAGTGAAAACTTCATCGAAGAAGAAAAATAATATATTCGAGAGAAGTAGAGGAAGGAGAAAATGTCGTGGCAAACGTATGTAGATGATCACTTGTTGTGTGAAATCGAAGGCAACACTCTCTCTGCCGCCGCCATCATCGGTCAAGACGGCAGCGTTTGGGCCCAGAGCTCCAATTTCCCTCGGGTTGTTTTCTTTTTCTTTGAAGTTCTTCTTCCCCCTCCGCTTTGATTTATCATTTTTACCTTTTCCCGGTTTCCGAAATAGTTGAGTAAAGAGATCCGATTCCTATGATTGAATTTCTCTTTTTGCATGATTTATTAGCTGATCTGATTTGCTCAGTAAGGATTGGTATTTGTTCAATATTTGCTTAAACCAAAACTGATGTCTTTTTCCTCTTCTCCAAAGTTCCAACTTTGGCTATGATTTATTGAAAGATTTACTTTTTCATGCGTGGAAATTACAAGATTCCTTATGAATCCCTTTTTTTTCCTTTCTATTTGTTAGTTTTATAAGAATTAATCATCGTTTTAATAAAATGAGATAAGTTGTGCTAATGGATCTGCAAATGACCACGATATAAGCAATGATGATATATGTAATAAGTGAGTGAAATATTTCTGCTAATAATGTCTATTCGACTTTAAAGGTAGGTTTTTTTTGTGATTTAAACTATGAAAGGTTATGTTTTTGCTATTTTTTTTATAAACATATTATGTTGTTTCTTGGTTCTATGGTGAATTCAGTTCAAGCCAGAAGAAATCTCTGCTATTATGAATGACTTTGTTGAACCTGGATCACTTGCCCCCACCGGATTGTACCTTGGTGGCACAAAATATATGGTGATCCAAGGAGAAGCCGGAGCTGTTATTCGAGGGAAAAAGGTGATGTTCTCAACTTTTATTTTGTTTATAACACTGAAGAATCTCACGCTCAAATGCATTTTTTACATTGTGCTGGATGCAAAGAGATTTGTCATTTATAAATTATACATTTTGTTCCAAGCATACTTTTAATACATAGAGCACCTAAGAAAGTGTTATTTTCTACTTGTTTTATGACACTTCAAAGTCTCATATCTACGTCGTTTGCAATCGGCATTTGCTGTTACATTTTTTATATGCAGCTGTTATCTTGTATCCCCAAACCCTGAGATTCCTCAAGGGGACTGTATTTTCTCCAGATAGAGATTCCTTGAGGAAGGAGAGATAGATGGTCACTACTGCATAAATTTTCGTACTATTGGTTTTATCTGGTGGCTGCATTCTGAGCCTTTTGTGATTTTAACTTTCAGGGGCCTGGAGGAGTTACTGTTAAAAAGACCAATCAAGCCTTGATCATCGGGATCTATGATGAACCAATGACTCCTGGCCAATGCAACATGATTGTTGAAAAGCTCGGTGATTATCTCATTGAACAGGGTCTTTAATTTATTTAGCTTGCCTTAATTGTCGCAGTTCTTCTTGGCTTCTTTTTTCTATACGAAAGTGCACCTGCCACCTCCCGTAATAATGGTTGGATCGAGTTAAAATAACAGTATTAGTAGTATTAAAAGTCAAGGGGAACCTTTTTCCAGAAACAATAAGCTTGATGTTTGTAATAGTGATATGCTTGTGATCCTCTTGCTTTGTTTCTGTTCTTGTTTGATGAATGGTATTGTCAAGATTGTGGAGCGAGGTACTTTTGTCTACATTTGCAATGAATTACGCCATTTTTTCTGTCTCTAAAAGCATTAGGACTTGTGTTACAGAAATCCAACTGGAAGATCTTAACATCTATATTGTTTGGAGTCTCACAAGAAAATAAGGAGATATATGATTTCTAAGAATGTTTGAAATATACGATTTTTTTTAACTCTAGCCATGTACATGTCGAGATACTTCCTCGTGTGCATGAGTACTATAGCATAAATAGCATTGATAAAACAGGTTACAAGAAGTGGAACAGTGGATGTACGTTCTCATTATTCAGTGCTTCATTAGCACTACCAAATACCAAGAGTACACTAGAGGCGACCTTCTCAACATTCTTTAAAATAATGCAACTTAACATATTACAACGTCAAACGATAAAAGGAACTTAGAACCATTTTGCAGATATCCCAATAGGAAGGGCGACAAAACAAAAGATATGGGTACATAAGATGTCTCAGGATTTGTACTTACAGTAATAGATGCAATTACCATAGCCTGAAAAAATATAATAAACAGATAAGCATTTCCAGGAAAGCAAGATCCTTCCATATTGAAATACTAAATGACAGTAAAGAGCATCAGCGTTGGAACAAATTAAGGTAAAACAGTAGGCTTACTGGGATCCTTGTCAACTTTGATGGCATTTCCGTGGAAACTGCAGGAAACATCGGTAGCCCCATTTTTCTGGTAGTAATTGTTAAATGCAAAAGAGGCATGAGAAAATAGAGTATTTGGCTCAAAACATGGCTGGTTAGGCTGAATTGAAGAACAGTCGGCTTTTCCAGGTCCACAAGCCCAATCTAATGCAGTCTGTAAGTTCGTTTCAGAAGCCTGCCGAGAAGCAACGCACCAAGTTCTACCATTTGGATCGCTACTTTTTACTGTGGAAGAGTCTCATGAAATCATATATGAAAATAAATATTGTTATGGTACAGGAGATGAGATGTTCCAGAACCTGTACTTACCGTTATAGATGCAATTACCATAGCCTGCACAATAATAAAAAGGGTTAATGGAAAGCTTTTAGAACTTGAAAAATCATGTAATCTTGTAATCAGATTCTGCATGAAGTAATTGACTTACTAGGGTCAATATAAACTTTGATCCCAGTTCCTCCAGAACTGCATGCTTCATCAGTAAGCCCATTTTTCTTGTAGTAATTGTTGAACGCAAATGAGGCGCGAGAAACTAGATTATCTGGTTCAAAGCATTGCCCGTTGCCAGGCTGGAGGGCAGAACAATCCGCTTTTCGCGTCAATATAAACTTTGATCCCAGTTCCTCCAGAACTGCATGCTTCATCAGTGAGCCCATTTTTCTTGTAGTAATTGTTGAACGCAAATGAGGCGCGAGAAACTAGATTATCTGGTTCAAAGCATTGCCCGTTGCCAGGCTGAAGGGCAGAACAATCCGCTTTTCGCGTCAATATAAACTTTGATCCCAGTTCCTCCAGAACTGCATGCTTCATCAGTGAGCCCATTTTTCTGGTAGTAATTGTTGAACGCAAATGAGGCGCGAGAAACTAGATTATCTGGTTCGAAGCATTGCCCGTTGCCAGGCTGAAGGGAAGAACAATCCGCTTTTCGCCCAATCTAATGCCTTCTGTAAATCCTATTTCGGAGCCCGAGGAGAAGCAATGCACCAGCTTCTCCCACTTGGAGTTGGATTGGTTCCTTTTCCAGGGAACTCCAGGTAATATACAGGTGTCATGTCCGGATAAAATATACCCCAGTTTCCCTCTATTTCTGATCCCTGCTTCTTGTTCTCATTAAACAAGGATAAAATATACACATCCACCCCTACATTAGGCCTAGCAGGTGTACCAGACATAACATGAACGTCACCAGGCATGGCAGTTGCACGAGAAACATAGCTAACATGACGAATCAAGATCTTATTATAAGTCATGGCATTATCAATAGTAAAATACTTATCTCCTGGTGGACCTCTCGTGCCATATCCAGTTTCTTTAACAATACTCTTCATGTCATTGTAGTTTTGATCGGCCAAGGGAAAATGAACAACATCAAGTTGGGCGTCATGTACGGTCATTGATCTTCTGAATCGATTGACGATGGTGAAATACACGGGCATATAACGGAGCATCAAACATGTTGTTGTAACGGTAACCGGTATTCCAATCTACAAAGGCTCGGTCGGATGGCTCAAACAGAGCAAAATTCAAAGAGGAATCGTCATTAATAGTAAAATAAGGATATATGTTGACTATAAAAGGTGATCGGTTCTCATTCAGGAATTCCAACAAAGGGTCCAAGACAAATGCAAGGGCACCATTAAAAGCCCCTTCAGAAGGTGGGAACGAACAAGAAATAACCCCGAAGGAGAATGCAGTTGAGACCTTGATATTTTCTTGGAGGTTAAACGTTTTCAATGCCGAAACGACGTTTTTCATGGCAGGCACAACCAATTTGGCGGACTCATCCTGGCTCTTGGTGACTTCGTTACCTACAGTAATGTAGGTGTATTAGTTACCTACAGTAACTCGATAAAACCCACATTACACAAGTACCCATACAACTTATTGAACCAATTCCACGGTGCTTGTCACAAGCCATAGAACGCCTTTTTAAGCTTGCACACAAACACTTCACCATGCACGCCACGTTGTTCGAACCCCTCAGGCTGTTTCATGTACACCTCCTCATATAGATTCCCGTTAAGGAAAACGTTGTTAACGTCCACTTGTCGAACCTGCCACCTACGAGAAACAGCCACAGGCAAAAGCACATGTACAGTTGTGAACCTAACGACCGGGCTAAAAGTATCGATAAAATCATAACCCGGTACTCGAGAGTACCCTTTGACCACAAGCCTAGCCTGGTATCAGCTAACAGTACCATCCGAATTATACTTTACTCGAAAGATCCATTTCGCACCAATCACTTTTTTGTGGTGGTAACGGAACAAGTACCCACGTGCCATTATCCAGCAGGGCTTTATATTCCAACTTCACTGCTTGGCGCCAATGTTTACTCCTAAGAGCATCCTGCACGCTAGGAGTGTCAACATGGAAAGTATTATGAACTTTAGGTTTAAAAATGCCCGCTTTACTACATGTCACCATATGATGATTATTTACTGGGCCCGCCACCACAGTCGCTGCACTATGTTGCACCAACTCCATAGGAGCACTGCACGCGTTACGGTGTTCGGCAGATTTGTCCTGAGCAGCCTCAGGCACAGTGTTTGCATCAGCAAGACCTTCCACACTCGGAACTGCATTTTCAGCAAAAGAGGGACTGACCGACTCATGACCAGATTAAGACCCAATAGCAGCACGAGTTTGCGAAGAATGATCGGCAGCCCCAGATGCAGGAACAGGACTCGAACCCTCATTAGGATTAGCTGGACCACCAAACCGCCCCAGCACCGGAAAGGGGACCCGCCAAGCTGACGTAGCACCAGGCTTAGCAACCACAGAACCTGACCCAACTGAAGCACAAGGAAAACAGATCCGTTAAACCTCACATGCCACGAAATATAGATTCTTCCAGTAGAATCCAAGCACTGATAACCACGGTGCTGTGGCGAATAACCAAGAATACACACGCCTTTGAGCGAAAAGCAAACTTATATTTGTTATAGGCTCGCAGGCACGGAAACCACTGGGTGCCAAACACACGAAGAAACTGATAGTCAGAAGCCTTATTATACAGTTTCCGGAACGGCGAGAGACCTCCAAGAACCGCCGTTGGTAACCTGTTGACCAAATACGCAACTGTAAGAACGGAAAAGGACCAAAATTTAAATGGGTCAGAAGACTGAGCAAGAAGTTAGGGCAGTATCAATGATGTGTCTGTGCTTGCGTTCCACCACTTCGTTCTGTTGAGACGTGTGTGGGCATGTCTCCCGATGCTGAATACCATCGGTTGCAAGCTTCCCCTTAAGAGCGCGAAATTCACCACCGCCATCAGTTTGCAAGGCCACAATACTAGCACCGAACTGATTCTTTACAAGCGGTAAACGCTTGAAACGCATTATTTTTCACATTCAAATCAGACTATAACAGTATATTATCATGATAGATATAAACACAACAATTCCAAACAATAACTTACCTTCTCTAAATTGTTTGTCTTTGTCTGCTGAGTTTTGAAATTGAGAACCTATTGTTACTTTCTTTTTCAAATTTCAACAATCAAATTCAATTTGAGAACTTAGGGTTTAGAAATGGTATTTGAGATTTAAAGAAGCTAGGGTTTAAAATTCCTAAGTTGAAGAAAGGAGAAAACTCTGAAAAGAAAGTGAGGAGATAGTGACGTAAATGGGCGTCTGTTGGTTGGTTTTTTTTTTAATCATGGGTTGTGCTTTTTTTTACATTTAATTTATTTTCTTTTTAATTTTTTATGTAAATGTATTTAATATGCTATTTGTCATTTTTTATTGCTCTATATGTTTTTTTAACTAACGTTACTTTTCCATTTAAAATATTCACAGTTTCAAACTTTAATTACCTATTTAAAAAAAAAAATACTTTAAGTACTTAAAAGAAAAAAAGTGATATACTTTAGGTATTTATTTGTGAATAAGCTAAAAGAGTTAAATAATTCTTTGTTTCTTTTGAATTTTTATGTTGTTTTACATATAAGGTAAACTACACATTTAATATTTAAACTATTAGATTTGATCAGTTTTAATATTTAAAATTTTAATTTTTTAAAATAATACTAACGTTTAATTTTAATTTCATCTCAGTACCCTACCGTTAAAAAATTAACGATTTTAGTATCTAAATTATCAATTTTTGTAAGTTTTAATACTTAAACTATCATTTTTCTTGAAAATTTAATGTTAAATTTTGAACGAAATATTAAAAATAAAATAAAAATTAAATTTTATATATAATTTTTAAAATATTAAAAATTTATATGTTAAAACATACTAAAACCGATAGTTTATATATTAAATACATACTTTACCCTTTGACTGGATTGTCTGCATGAGTGCAATTATTGCTGTAACTATTACTAACAATTACAAATCCAGTAATTTATTGAAGTACTTTCTCATTTAATTAACTTTGGTACCTTCCCACCACACTAATGTACGAACCTTTTCTTTTGTTAATGAGTAATTTATGAGACATACGTGCAAGTAAAATAAACATAAATATTGTTGTAGCAGGGGAAATTGCTAATCTAAACCGTAAAAAAAAAAAAAAAGTTATATTCCAAAAGGCTTCCTTGTCCTTCAAATTTTATATAGTTTTAAAAAAATCAATTTTAGGAGTTGTTTGTTTACTTTAGAATGATTAAGCGTTGAATAATTCAAATGCTAAATGATTCAGAGGTTCTGAATGGTTTGACTCTGAATGTGACATGATGTTTGATAACTGGCTCTGAATGATTCAAAATGTACTTCTGTGCTAAATCATTCAACACTGTTTTGTTGAATCAGTCAACACTGAATCATTCAGAGGTGCGAAACAAAAGCGTTGAATGCTGAACGGTTCAACATTCAGCGCTGAATGATTTCATTAAGACGCAAACAAACAACCTCTTAGTTTTTTCTTCTTCTTGTGCTATAGTAAATAATTTTTTTCCTTTATCTTTATAATCGACGACAACTTTAATCTTAGTATTGATCATCGATCGTCGGTATTTAATGTTTTTTTTTTATTTTTATCACATCGTATTTTTTTTGTATTTTCTTATTTCTAATGACTTATTTTATAGCACGTTTCTTTATGATTTTTGGCATATTTTCGATCGTTTGACCATTGTTTTTTAATTATCTTTTTGTAGTGTTTGAGTTGTCATCGTCACCACTAATCAAGATAGAGTTTATTTGTTATCATATTGATTTTTATTGCTTTAGACTATCAGATTGAAATTGGATACTTGATTTGCGTTTGTGGAGAGACCTCTCACGTCATCCGATTATGATTTGTAGTTTATCAGTGATCTTTTCAATAGTTTAATCTCCGTTTATGGTTCGTTTAACGATGCAGACAGATCTGTTTGTATTTATCTTTTATCCGACATTATTTGATTAGGTTTTAATTTCAACCTCTTTCCTTATAATAATTATAATAGAATGTCCTTATTGTGTATTTAGTTTACGTTTGTGGTGGTAAATTTTCATTTTAATTTGAATATTCTTTATTTTCATTAAAACTAACCGCTCCATCTTGTAAAAAATAATATTCCAACGTATATTTTTAATATATAAAATAATTAATTTTCCAAGTTTAGTTTAATTAATTATTAAATTATATTTTATTATTTTATTATTTAAATATAACTCTCAAGCATTTGACATCGAGCGTTCACACCCGTGACATTCTCAGTGCTCGAACCATAAACCTCGAGGAATAAAAATAAATCATTTACCACTGAAATCACTTGATTCTTACTACGTTATCATAATTATTTATACATATTTGTTACTAACTTTGTAATTTAGAAAAAAATATAAACTAAAATGGTTATTGTTTATGATATTTTTCAAACTGAAATCAATTTTTATCTATTCATGTCATATTAATTTAGTGAAATATTATAAAAAGTAAAAAAAATGGATAAAGACAAATAGAAAATCAGGATAAATTGTACAGTGCAACAAAGTCATCTCTATACTAATACGAAATCATCAAAATCTTAGTTTATCAGATGAAAGTCGTCGATAGTTATCAAAGCAACGAATTTACCCAAACCGATTATTTTTCATGACACAATATTTTTTTCACTGCAATAAATAATAATTTAACAAAATGGTAATTATCTTATCAAACATTGTAAATTTTATCCTATTTTCATGACTAATTAATCTCTAAATATATTTTTAAAATTTTTATTTTTCATTTCACTAAATAATGTCACATTCATTAGATTCAAGAAACTATATATTTTTTTAAGAAAAATAAATAGCCTTACATCAAATCAATCAGATAGTTCAAATTATGTTCCCTTATTCTTCAGGTATCATCAATGATAAAAAAAATATCAGGAGGAGCTCAAACTTCACGTTTTTTTTACCTCTTTTTTAACTAATTTGGACTGCGCACATCTAATTTTAGAGGATGAATAATTTTTCGATATTTTTTGTATATATAATAACTTAAATATTTTATTTTACTTAAATAATATCACGCTGATTAATACTTGAACTAACTCTTTTAATTTAGAATTTCATTTCATTGACAAGAAATAACACAAATTCCTTCACATATAACATTGATATCTGAATTACATCATATAAATTCTACACATAATTTCTAACTTGTTTTTATCCCTCTTAAATCACCACCTTCTGATCTGCAAATGGTTCCTCTCAGAGTCTCTACCGAATTCAAAGGACCTATCAAGCTTCCCCATCACCACATTCTTGAAATTAATGGCTTCTTGAGCTCGTAAGCACGATCTCTGCATCTTAACCCCACTTAAACTGCACCTCGATTCCATCATTTCATTGAGAGAAACCCTTTTCTTCGGCCCCGAATCTGGTCTTTGTTTCGGAGCACTATGAGACCTCAACTTTGCCTTGAAAGACTGCGTGTTCGCCATATAATTCGGAAAATCCCCGCAGTGCCTGAAAAAGTTGTTGCCGCACACACTCTTGGCCGGTGTAACCGGCGCTTTATACATACAAGGATTGGTAATGCGAGGCGTGCTGTGTGCCGTAGAGAATCTGCATTCATCTTCGGTTAATCCCCAATCGGTGTCGTGAAAATGGCGCCTATCTGGTATCGACAAACGGGCCGGAAGTCGAGGAGAAGGAAACGGCAGCGTTTGGTAAGGAGGGTCATCAACGAAATCCGATAAAGAAGTGTTGGTTCTCCGATTAGGCCTGCCTGTATCGACCTCCACGATTTTGGGACTTTGATCGATGTTAATTGCAGTGTCGAGAGAAGCTGACAGTCTTCTGCTATGATTTGAAACTATGTGTTCACTTCTACTATCATCAAATCTCTCCTACAAGATGGGTGCTTTTTTTAAAACAATTTTATAAATTATAAGGCTAAATGGGAGTCAAAATGCAGTAGAATTATCAAATTAAAAGGAATGATTATTTGTTTACCATGGGTTTTCGTGCTCGGATGTCAAATCTAACGGCGTCGTTGTTGATGATTCCACGAGCTCTCCGGCATTTAATGGTAGCTTGTGCTCTCATCAATGCCTGCATGCTACGAAGAGTGGCTGAAGCTTGTTTCCTCAGTAAATATCCTCTAACAAGCGCCTGTATTTTCACTAATCCTTTCAAAGCTCGTAGTGCTCTTCGAGCCTGTTTTTGAATCCAAAATCCAAACTTTTAAAACAAAGCTCTTGTTTAAATCAATTAAGAAAGAGACTTCTTTTTTTTTACTTACCAGATATCCTCTGAAAACTGTCTGAATCTTGACAGCAGCCCACCTCTCATGTACGCCGCCGAACATGGTGCCTCTACCATGACTCGTCAGCTTCACCACCGCCACTGCGGCCTGCGCAGCGGCTACTGCTGCATCCGCGGCGGCTGAAGTGGCGGCTGCCACCGCAATGGCGTGCTTGTTCTGCTCCCTCTCTGTTTCATTGTAGCATGATCTTAGCCACGCAACCTTAGCCGGTGATATTGTAGTGGTGCTGCTCGAATCTCGCCCAGAATATCCAGTGCTACACTTTCTCTTATCTTTCCCTTCACAGGGATTCAAGTTATCTTTGCCGTTCTTCATCCCAAACAAGCTCTTCAGCCACCTTGAAGCCCTTCCCATCTTGTTTCCTTGGAGAGTAAGATTGTAAAAGAGAGTTCAAAAGAGGGTTTTAATTTAAAAGTGAAATCTAAAAATACCCCATTTTATATAACAGCTGATAAAGCTCACAATCATAAGGGCTTTTCTCCATGTTGCAAAAAGTGGTGAATCTCTCTCTTTGTTGACGAATTAATTTAATTAAAATATTGTACAAATTTATTATAAAAATTAAAGTAAATTATACTAATGATCACTCAATTATAGTCTCTTTTCATTGTTATCAATCATATTAATAGACGTGTCATAATATCAAAAGTGTTGCCCTGCATTTTTCTTCTTATCTTACCTTAAAATCAAATTTTTAATAATTTAAAAAGTTAGGATTATAAATTCTCATACTATAGCTCAAGACTCGTTTCAGTAAAAAGAGAAAGAAGTAAAGAAAAATTGTAAATTTAAGGATTATATTATAATAACAAAATCATCAATTTAATTATTTGTGAATAATTACGACGTTTCACATTACTACATTCAACCCTTCTTAATTAATATATTTTTATGTTGATTTTTTTTAAAAAAATATTTATTTTATTTAAATCTTTTTAATTTAAATAGTTATGCTTCCAATTAAGTGGGAGCACATGACACCACATGAGAGAAAGGAAAATAAATTGAACGGAGAGGCTTTTGGGGAGTTGAACTTTGGTCTCCAAAGAAAGCTAAGTAGTAGACTCAACCACTGCACCAACTCTAATTTTCGACATAGTGATTACAACATTCAATATTTATTTTATTCTACAGTGAAGGCAATATATATATATATATAAAGAATTAAAATAATAATTTATATTGGGTTGGGTCAGTTCGTTGATTTCTTACCTTAAATATGCCCTGCCCTGACTTGATATGAATATATTAATATTTTAAAATAGAAAAATATATTTATAATAATTTAAATAATAAAAATAATATATTTTTACCTTAAATCCGATATAATTTTAATATATATATATATATATATATATAAAGGGGTAAACTAATATTTTATACATGGTTGGATAGGATCAGTAATTTTTTTGTGATCCTGTCATACTTTGAACCCGAATTTTAAAAAATGATCCAATAATAATAATTTAATACGAAGCCGATAAATTATTAGTTTACCCCTTTATATGTATGTTCGAATCAAATCAGGTTTAATGTAAAAATATATTATTTTTAAATTATAATAAATATATTATATTAATTATTTTAAAATATTAATATATTTGTATCGGATTGTACGGACTGGGTTTAGGAAAGAAATCACCAAACCGTACCATTCCAATATAAATTATTATTTAACCCTTTAAATATATATATTTGAATTTGATCGGTATAAATATATTGTTTTTGTTTTCATTTTTTGTGGCCTTCATTATAGGATAAAATAAACATTGAATGTTGTAATCATACTGCCATGAATTAGAGTTCGTCCAGTGGTGGAGCCCGGTGCTTTGCCTCCTTGGAAACCCACGTTTGATTCCCCAAAAACCTATCCATTCAATTTATTTTCCTTTCTTCATGTGGTGTCACGTGTAATTATATGATTGAAAAAATAAATATTTATATTAAATATAAATTAAATTAAATTAAAAAAGTCATTCAATAATATTATGATATGTCATTATATTATTGGAAAATTAAATATATTAAATTAATTTGAGATTATGATCAATGTGATAGATTTTATATGTAATAAGAACTAAATGTAAATTAGATCAATTTTATTAACTGCCGATCAATAATTTCATTAATTGTTAACGGTTATTGGTCTGATTGAATGCATTTAAATGGTTTGGTGGTCAGAACTATAGTCGTGTGTAGGGGTGTGCAAAATTACCCGACCCGCCGACCCGTAAGTAAAAAAACCGGGTAATTCTCTAAAAAAAAATTATCCGGCCGGGTCGGGTACCCGGCCCGACATTTCCCGGGTCGGGCCCGGGTCACAAAATCTAGTTTTTCCGGGTACTCGGGACCGGGTACCCGGTTAGTTTTTATTTTTTTATATATAATTATATAAAATATAATGAATTATTTATATTATGAATTATTATATTTTATATTTCGAACTTTTAAATTTTATGTTCGGATATTAAAGTATGTAATTTGAAGTTTCGAACATTTAAATTTGTGTATATTTTTTTAAAATTAATAATTTTAAAATGAAAAATAAAAAAAATCGGGTAACGGGTACCCGACTACCAGCAAAATCCGGGTACCCGATTACCGGGTACCCGTAACATCCGGGTCGGGACACGGGCCGAGAAATCGCCGACCCGGAAGTTTCGGGTACCCGGAAATCGGGTACCCGAAAATCTGGGTATCCGGATTTGCACACCCCTAGTCGTGTGACTAATGGTATAGTTTACCCTAAAACTTATTATATTTATTTAATTTATTTATTATTTTAAAATATTATACTAACGATAATCGATAAACGAATTGAACTAAATCTAATTTATATAATTTTTAAATTTTCAAAGCAACGTCAATGTAAGAGAAAATAACAAAACGAAATGAGGAAGTTTGATTATTTTGAGTAGTGTGTTTGAAATTCAAAATAAGGTTTTGTGAAGGGAATAAAAAAGACACGTGTGCTCGTGAGAGACAGCATTAGATGACAAAAGCATGGCGCTGAAAGATTCAGACTGCCTTTAAAACAAAGTATTATATTATTATTGTTGTGTGATCAATCAAAAGTTTAAAAGGAGAGTTACAGATTGCAGTAAAGCGCCACAAACAGAAAATACCCTCATATATATTAGGAAAAGATGATAAATATATATTTAAAATAAAATAATCACAGCTGTTGGGAGTTTGAAAATTCTTGTAATATTATATAATAATTAATATAACAACAAATATGTTAAGGAAGGTTTCAGTAAAGTCGATAGATTAGAGATATTCTATTTAAAGATAATTTGAAGGAAGAATAATATTTTTTTATCACTAAAATCGTTTAATTCGTACTGTTCTATTTAGATTAAGTGTAAAATTAGAGGATATTCTAAGAAATTAAGAACTATAATTAGTGGTTGTATTCTCTTCTTTTATCTGTTCATACTTCATCACAAAATGTGCCAAATATTTAAATAAAAAATTTGGTTGTCCTCCCGATTTCAAGGTTTTGGTTTAAATAATTCAGACTGACTCGTATCGTATATTTGGTTTTGGTGAGTGAGTCTCTCCACAATTAGTTTTTGTATACACAATGATTTAAACTCGAGATGTTACTATTTGAACCAACCTTGTTGGTGAGTATTTTAAAATTTATTTAATACAAAAATAATTACTTAAAGCATACATTTTTTTATTTAAAATTCTTTTCCATCAAAGTAGAAATCAATCTGAAATCTTTTTCCAATTACAGGTACTGATTTAAGAAAAATGATCAAATTTAGGTACGGATTTGTATAAAAAAAGCCTTATTTTTTGGGTGGTACGACATTCATAAAAAAGACACATCACAGCTTCAAAAAAGAAAGATATCTGAGGGGATAGGGTAGTCGAAAAAGAGAAAGAATGGAAGAATATCCCAGCTGTGCAACAATGAAGCATCTCATAATGTTACCCATCTAATTCGTCTATCCCCATCACTGTGGCCTGGACCCGTCTTAAAACCCAGAGGCGAGTGAGTACAGCTAATCCCAAACACTCTGTTCTCCAAACAGAGTAAAAAACACACACAACACAAATGATACGTCACTGTTTCAGTAAAAAAAAAGTACAACTTATTCTCAGCATCCTAGCAGTGAAAAAAGAAAGCACAGCTTTCTATATTTAGTCGTAGTATTATGCATGTATATTCAGCTCTTCTTAATTCCCCCTGTTACTTGTACCTCACCATAGACACACAAAGCCATAGCTTTCTTCTGTTCTTTGTTTCGGGTTTCGAGAAGATCATCGTCTCTCTCTGCCGTCTGTGGGTTTGCAGAATTCCTTTTCTCTGTTCCATTTTTCATTGTTCTTTGTGCTCAGTTTTGTGGGGGAAATTATAAACCAATTTGAATCATCATTTTGATTCCATGTCATTATCAAATAAGGTAATTATATTCCTCACCCTAAATCAGTTTACATTATTAAATTACTTTAGTTCATGTCAGGAACTTTTTCAATGTGGCCTGCATCAAACAGTGACCCCAGCTTAAAAGCGCTATATGATAAGCTCATTGTACTGTTTCATGTACCTATTAGACCACGTCTTTCTGTCATTTTAAAATTATTGAAAACTTTTATAAAATAAAAATTAATAAATAATTTTATTTAAGTTATATATATCTTTATACTTTGAGTTGTTTAAGATGACAGTGAAGGAATTTCCTTGTGTGATGGAATTAATGTATGGCTGATTCAAATTTTAATTGATAATATTTAATTTAAATTGATTTATTAAGAATTTAATTATTAAATATATTTTGTGTAATATATAATTATTAATTGTAGTAAAAGTTAGTTTATAAATATTTCTGGTGATTAAAATTTAATTGTAATTAAACGAGATATCCTGTAAATATTAATGAATATGATTTAGGCTTTTAAATTAAGATAATGGAAAGAGATACAGTCTACTGAAAGGAAAGAACCAGGCCAGATGCCATCTTCTCCAGAGAGATAAACTAGAAAATGGGCTTATCCTAGAATTCAACGTTAGCACCTCGAACTCACTAAGGTCCATGAAGGGAGACACAGAAACCAAAAACCCAATGTCCATGTCATATCAGACTGTGCAGTCCAAGTTGGGTAATTTTGATGGACTATAGCCTGTATGAGGCCATCAATTTTGACCCATTTCTCAAATTCTGATATTTTCATATTTCTAATTTCCCTTTTTCTTTTATTTTGATCAAAGTCTTTGCATATATGTAATTGGTGTCTTGACCCTATTTCCATTGCTTTCGGGGACAGCACTTTTGTAAACCCTAAACAGCCTAACCTAAATTGGTCCCTCAAATAATGGGTGTCGCCTCCAACAAGATTCCAAACGCATACCTTCCATTAATTCAACTCAAA